GTTATACGTTTGGTTTTTACTTGTGCTGACCTGATGGGCCAAATGGCCTTTTCTATGCCATAGACTCTCATGAGTTAAAGGAAGCAGGCCAGAAAGTGGAGTTGAGAGAGGGGAGATGGCTTGGAGGCTGAGATGAGAGAGGAGGTTTGAGGGGCTACTCCTATCCTAGTTCTTGTGTGCTTACAGTGTGGTTTGAGCCCATGCCTCCAGAACATTCACCTGAGATCAGGATTACTAGCTCAGAAACATTACCACTACACCACCTCTACCCCAATGTAAATATCTCCTTCATTAAATATGGAGACAAAAATGCACATAGTCCTCCCAGTGTGCCTTCACTGCAATTGTACTAAACGGTCTTGTGGTTGATGGATCTAATGCAGGTAATTGGTTAGAAGGGAGGGGGAGAGTGCCTCAATCTAATGTAGTCTCTGAGATGTGCAAAATTTGCCTTTACCATCGAGGGCTTTGGACAGAGATTGTGCGTATCAGACAGTGTCAAAAATCACATGGCACCAGGTTATAGTCCAACAGGTTTATTTGAAAACACTAGCCTTCAAAGCTCTGCTCCTTCCTCAGGTGTAGTGTGGAACAGGAAGTATACCGGCACAGAATTTATAAGCAGATCACAAGCAGATTTGCAGATGCATTCTATTTTGTTCAAAAAAATAAGACCAGCTGACTCCAGGTTAAAAACACAAACAGATTATAAACAAGGCCTCACACTTAAAATGTATTGTCTGACCTGAGATGTCACCTCTTGTATACACTGCTAAAACCTTTAATTATCTCAGGGCAATGATTTGAAAGAAATTCTGGGGTTTGCATTTTAATCAATAGAAACTTGTGTCTCCTTTCTAACTGCTTAAAGATTCAACAGGAGGTGGTCAATGAGCCATATTTAGGGTTGTTACCTTTCTGCTTATAAATTCTGTGTCGGTATACCTTCTCTTCCACACTATACCTGAGGAAGGAGCAGAGATCCGGAAGCTTGTGTTTTCAAATAAACCTGTTGGACTATAACCTGGTATCATGTGACTTCTGACTTTGTCCACCCCAGTCTAACACCGGCACCTCCACATCATGGCTACCATTTCTGACAATGTACAGAACAATTCCCATCAATCATTTCTAGATTATAGATTGTAGCCACTTCAACAAGGATCAAAGAATATCAGGCAGCTGAAACATTAGTGTTGCTTTTCTGATTACAGTCCCTGTGCAGGGGAGCAGTGAATATTAAGGGTCAACAGATGCTAGAAATTTAGATGCTGACTGTTTACTCTCAAAATACTTGCATTTATATGGTATCCTTCAATACCTCATAACATCCCAATGCACTTTCCAGCCAATGAAGCCGATTTGAAGTGTCATTGGTACGATATCGGAAACTCAGCAATCACTGTGGGCAGAGCAAGATCCCACAGAAGAACATAACAATAAGTCAAATAATCTGGTTTCAGTGAGGTCAGTTGAGGGATAAAATATTGGTCAGAACGTAAGAAGGAAGACTTCCGCTTTTCTTCAAAATGGGAGTTTTGGCATTCAACTGAGTGGGTAGCATCTTAGCCACTGGGTAACCCATGACAGTGAAGCACTCCCTCAGTGTTTCTGTTCTCAAACCGTTTATGAGTTGTAATCCCACCCTTTCTGATCGAAGTGCATTGCTCAGTGATGTAGGTCAGTCAGAACTGACCTGGAGTAAGTGCATTTAATTGTGGGAGCCAGGCCCTAGGTAGGAGTTCTGCACTGTGGCTAAACTGGTTAATTCAGGAGAACAGACTGTGCAGACATGGTGCGAGTTTAGAAAAGTGAGGAATGATCTGATGGAAACATTTCATATGGTATTGGGCTTTGATAGGGTCAACAGAGTTGGGGGAAAACTCCAGATCACGGGGGAAGAAACTTAAAATTCGAGTCAGGATATTTGAGGGTGATGTCAGGAAACGATTCCTCATATAAAGGAGTAGTGGAAACCGGGAACTCACTTTCCCCCGAAAAACCACTATTGAGAGGGGGTGTGGTCAATGGAACTAACAAAGTTTTCTGCTCTGTTCTGAAGAAGGGTCACTGGACTCTGAACATTAACTCCATTTCTCTCTTTCTGTCTCCACAGATCTGCTGAGTCTCTCCAGCACTTTCTGTTTTTGTTTCAGATTTCCAGCATCCGCAGTCCTTTGTGTCGTTTTTGTCAGTTTTTAGGGCATTGAGAGTTATGCAACAAATGAGGCTAAATAGACTTTAGATTCACATCGGATGTAACTGAATAGCAGAACAGTGCTGAATGGCCTCCTCCTGTTCCTATAAAACTGAAACTTATGGGTTCTTGCAGTTAGCCTGTGACTTTTGAAACAATGGGAACAAGGAAATATAAGGCTAATCAGAGGAGGAAAAGGTTATGGGAAGTGACTGTGATGACCCGAGTGATTAATCGTCTATGAATTGCCACAAATAAAACACAGCCGAAAGCTGAAGCATGTTGTCTACCAGAGCCGGGCAGCAATGAATTACTTTCCCTGTTAAAAGTGACTTGAGAGAGCTTCCGTGTATTCTGAAATGGATGCTTGGAAACTGATATCAGTACAAAGCAGCCAGTTAGTTTCATCACTGCTTCATGCACGGAGAAAGTCACTTACAATCAATCAACGGAGCCAAATGGAGATCCACCTCAAACTGAACAACGCTGATTCATTTCCCTTATTTCAGGCCTAATGATTTATTCACACCCTGACCATTTGCACCAACACCAGCAACTTCCTTCACCCAGCACCAACGCTCTCACACAGAGTTCTAGCTTTCGGCATATTTTGTTAATCGAGTGAGAGTCCTGGGGTTAACAACTCAACGAGCTAAGCGGTTTTGATATCACAAAGCATTACCACTGGAAGGAAGGACAACGACCAGAGGACATGTATTTAAGATCATTCACAAAAGAACCAGGGGAAAAATGAGGAGCTTGTTTTTGTTCAATTGAGTGATCTTTTATGGTCTGGAACACACTGCTAAAGGAGCAATGGAAATGGTTTCAAACAGACTTTCAAAATGGAATTGGAGAAGTCCTCGAAAAGGGGAAAAATAAATGCAGGGTGATGGGGAAAAGAGCAGGGACTAATTGGGTAGTTCTTCCAAAGAGCTGGCACATGTACAATGGGCTGAATGGTCTCCTTGTGGGCTTTGTGATTCTATCGTCCTATAAACTTGTGAACTTGCACTAGTTCTGCTCATACCCCAAGACACAATCACATACTGATGAGCCAATCGATGATTTTCCAAATTCTGTCGGAAATGTGCCAGCCAATTTATGTACAGTAGGATCCAAAACCAGTCATATTATGAACAAGTAAATTATTTCTGAAGTCAGTTAAGGGATAAATATAGACCAAGGCCCTAGTGATACCAGCCCTTCTATTCTGAGATAGTAGGAACTGCAGATGCTGGAGAATCTGAGATAACAAGGTGTAGAGCTGGATGAACACAGCAGGCCAAGCAGCGTGAGAGGAGCAGGAAGGCTGACGTTTCGGGCCTAGACCCTTCTTCAGAAAATTTTCTGAAGAAACCCACGCAGACACGGGGAGAATGTGCAAACTCCACACAGACAGTTGCCTGAGGGTGGGATCAAACCCAGGTCCCTGGCGCTGTGAGGCAGCAGTGCTAACCACTGTGCCACCGTGCTGCCCTAAAGGTAGTGATACATGCTACCTTGCCAATATCCCTCAACATCCTTATTTTGGAATCCCTAATCACCCCAAGGTCAATAAGAGCTACCCCTCACAACTGTGAGGCTCTGCTGTCGGCTATAGAGTAAAGGGTTAATTACATCATTACTCTAAGAACAGCCACTGAGCACGTGCAGTGAGGAGCTAGACCGCAATCATGTCAAATGACACAGAACTGGAGCTCAAGGCTGTTGGGTAGCTGAGGATGACCTCCCCTCCCCTACATAGTCATGTTTAGTAACGTTAATTCATGTTCACTTATAAGGTCGTAAACATCACTGTGCTGGGTATGTTTCTACAGCCCCTCCTCTGGCATTGAGTGACCCTATGACTCTGTCTCCAACTAATGTGTGAATGCTGATCAAATCTCCAACGACAAGACTTCCCCTAAAATAAAGAGCTTGGCAGCTGGCTAAATAACTGAGGAAGTAGTAAGATAAAATATTGCTAATGCCCTTATTGGCATAAAGTAGTTTCTAGACTTCTTCAGTACCACACACCCTCACCAAATTAACCTTCAAACTGACCTGACCTCTACACAACTAACTCATGCTGACCAGCCTTATGTTGACCTGCTTTGGGAATACTTACATTAAAGGGTTCCTACAACAAAACGTTAAACAGACCCACAGTCAATGTAGTCACTCTGATGCTGCTCATCACCTGCTACTGCTGGTTCACAATCCTGGAGGCTCCTTTCCTGACAGTGCTGTGGGTGTCCTGACACCACGCACAACTGCACTGGTTCAACATCAATGATAGCCACCCAGCTGGGGGAGGGGGATGGCGGTTAGCACTGCTGCCTCACAGCACCAGGGACCCAGGTTCAATTCCAGCCTCAGGCAACTGTCTCTGTGAAGTTTACACATTCTCCCCAGGTCTGCGTGGGTTTCCTCCCACAGTCCAAAGACATGCAGGTTAGGTGGATTGGCCGTGTTAAATTGCCCATTGTGTCCAGGGATGTGCAGGCTTGCTGGATTAGCCATGGGGGAATGCAGGGTTACAGGGATAAGGTAGGGGGCTAAATCTGGGTGGGATGCTCTTCAGAGAGTCATTGTAGATTCAATGGGCCAAATGGCCAGCTTCTACACTCAAGGGATTCCATGATTCTCAGGGGCATTTAGTGGATGGGCAATAAACAGTGCCCTTCCTGATGATGCCCAAGTTTAAAAAGATGACATATATTTCAGTGTGTGATTGAGAGACAAGTTTAGAGCCTTGCTGCAGTAAATAAATTACTCTCTCTTTATCACTCTACAACAACCTGAGTAAAACCACTCCTACCTTGGTCAGGTGGGAGGCATGCACATCCAAACAGAGTGACATAGTCCTCTTTGAAGTCTGTGTTAATTGCGTAGTGGTGAGACAGCTTGATCATCTTCTTGAAGGCATCATAGATAAAGATGAAGCTGATGAGCGACGAGAAGCCTTCCTCAGTGAAGCGAGTGAAGTAACGCACCAGGAAACTTGCATCAGTAGCAACAAGAATCAGACAAAGGAAGGATGACCACAAACCAATCCACAGGCGGAACTCAAGGTAGTCAAAACCATTGTCTCTGAAAGTGAGATGAAGGCAAGTGAACTCCCTTTACTGGTTCAAAGGATTCAAAACAGTGAAACTGTAAGGTGCCCCCAAATGATCCCTATTCTAAAGCAAGGAAATTGTTTTGACCTGAATGAACTTCACAAGTTGAATAACAATCAACTGGATGTGATAATCAGTTATCCATTGTATATGCAGAGCAGAGGGTGCAGGGGATCATTTAACATTGATAAAAAACTTAACTGCAAGAAAGTCACAAAAGTGAAACTTTTGATAAACTAACAGGCACCTTGATCCCACCGAAGCCTCTTCCTACTCCCTCCTTGTCTCACCTTATCACCATCTCCTTTTCCTCCTTCCTGCTTGTTCTTGTGCTTAGCTCATGTCCCTTTTATCTCTAAAGACCCACAGTCTCCCTGGATAAAAAAGGTTCCTCCTAGATTTCCTATTGGAGTTAAGAATAACTATCCTACATTTATAACTCTGTATCTTCACTGCTCTACAAGCAGAAACATCCTGATGACATTTTGTTGGCGGGGTTGGGAGGTTTTGTTGAGCGTTCTGGTTGGCCAGGAGTTTCAGCGACAGGGTGAACACCCCAGAACATTCTAGGGTTTTAGGGTAGAGTCTCCAAACAGGGCTGAAGCTGGGGCCGAAATCACACGTCCCATTACTGCACCTGTCCTAGGGCACTGGCCCTCTAAACCGAGCACTGTAAGCCCTCTAAACCGAGCACTGGAAGCCCTCTGATAGCCCCTGGTCACCGGGCCCTGGCTCACTTCCGGTCTCCCAGGCCTGGGGTAGGAGATCAGGTAGGAAGGAAAGAAGGTGGGTGTGGAGTTGCGGACGGGTGGTGGTTATTATCTTTGGAGGTGGGTGCCCACATGCCTTCCTGCCCTTCAACCATTAAAAACAGCGTGCCCAGTTCTGCCTGACAGCTCAGACCAACTAGATTTTGGAACGTGTAGCTTGGGATCCAGCTCAATGGCCTCACTGACAATTGCAATCAATCTTTAATTTTGTTTTAATAATAATCTCCTTATGTATTATGCTGAGGGCTGGGAGCGAAGGCTCAACATCTGACCTACGCTGTATGCACCCACCCATCACCAAAAATACCAAAAAGCATGTGAAATCATCGAAGCATAGAAAACAGGAGCAGGAATAGGCCATTTGGCTCTTCGAGACTGCACCATCATCAAAGATGATCACGGCTGATCATCGAACTCAGTCCTCTGTTCCTGCTTGCTCCCCCATGCCCTTTGATCCCTTTAGCTGTGAGAGCTATATCTAATTCCTTCTTGAAAACATTCAATGTTTTGCCCTCAACCAATTTCAGTGGCAGAGAATTCCACAGGCTTCCCACCCTCTGGATGAAGATATTTCTCCTCATCTCAGTCCTAGATGAGCTACCCTACATCGTTAGTCAGTGACCACTAGTTCTGGAATCCACCACTACAAGACCGTATCAAACTCATTATTGGAACACAATTCATGAGATAGCACAGTGTGGAGCTGGAGGAACACAGCAAGCCAAGCAGCATCAGAGAGAACACAGCATGGAGCTGGAGGAACACAGCAGGCCAAGCAGCATCAGAGAGAACACAATGTGGAGCTGGAGGAACACAGCAGGCCAGGCAGCATCAGAGATAACACAGTGTGGAGCTGGAGGGACACAGCAGGTCAGGCAGCATCAGAGGGAACACAGTGTGGAGCTGGAGGAACACAGCAGGCCAGGCAGCATCAGAGGGAACACAGTGTGGAGCTGGAGGAACACAGCAGGCCAGGCAGCATCAGAGATAACACAGTGTGGAGCTGGAGGGACACAGCAGGTCAGGCAGCATCAGAGGGAACACAGTGTGGAGCTGGAGGAACACAGCAGGCCAGGCAGCATCAGAGATAACACAGTGTGGAGCTGGGGGAACACAGCAGGTCAGGCAGCATCAGAGATAACACAGTGTGGAGCTGGAGGAACACAGCAGGCCAGGCAGCATCAGAGAGAACACAGTGTGGAGCTGGAGGAACACAGCAGGCCAGGCAGCATCAGAGGAGCAAGAAAGCTGATGTTTCGGGTCAGGACCCTTCTTCAGAAATGGGGGAGGGGTAATGGGGCTCTGAAATAAATAGAGAGAGGAGGGGTGGG